TAAAGTACTTTAACAAACAAATCTGCTAGCTTCTTAGAGTTTGCATTTGACTTAATTTTTCTCGTATATATTAGCTTAAAGACTTTGCAAAGGTTTGAATTATACTTAAAATTCAAAAGAAAGGCCAGACTGCAGTTTCTAAGCCGACAAACAAAAAGCAGAGTCGTGATGATCCGAAAACTTTAGTTAATCAGGGCAGCAACTGTCCAATTCGCAAAAAATACAACCGCTTTTTATAATCGATCTCCAGATCGTGCGATCTTCAAGCAAGAGTGATGCAACCGAACCTAGTAGGCAGCAATTGTTATGACCATTAAAAATGTGGACGAAATTTGTCTTCGGGCGTATTTTAGTTCTTTTTGTTTTTCCCACAAAATCAGGTACCGCATATTATCATCGGAATCATAGTTTGAAACATAAATACTATTCAAGCTAAATTACAAAATAAAAAAAATAAAAAAGTATTCCGTGTTCATAAAAACCGGAGTGAAATTTTTGAGTTTTTGACTGCATTTGAGAAAAGAAAGCGAGCGAGTAGAAGAAAATATTTCATTCAAAAAAGGAAAAACGTAGATTTACTCTAGAAAAGATAGTTTTGGAAGATTCCTTCAACGCTTCCTTTGCAAAAAAAAGTATTCTAAAAAATACTCTCCAAAAAATAGAACTGCAATCAAAAACTTTTCCGATCTTTTGTTTGTCTCTATATACTAAATCACAAACAACCTAGGCGATTGAATTGTTTTCATCACATCAGGCACAAAATTATCAATAACTTGATTTAAAAAAAGGAAAAACCTTTTTTTACTTTTAGTTTTGTTTTATGTTGTCAGAACATTCTGAGCTACTTTCACTGCAACCGGCTATCCTTGTTGAAGTTTTCTAATAGATACAAGAGACCTAATACCCTCGATAGTCAAGTAAATTTGATTATTGAGAAAAATGAATCAATTGGCAATTTTTCATACCGCTGGGATTTCAAGGAAGTACAACCAAATTTTGAAACTACTAATGGAGCACATTATTTGCACTTTTATACGAGAAAGTTTTTTGCACTTCAATTATTGTACTTTTACTATGAAAACACGTTTGTTTTGCACATTAATCAGCAAGCGTTCTTTGCTTTCCAGTTTAAAACGAATAAGATAAGGTGAAAATAATCAGCTAGAAAGATGAAAAAATTGATTGAAACATTAAAACCAGATTGATTTTTTTTAAATAAGATGGATGAGATCATTCTTTTTATACTTTATATTCAATCCCTAGCTGTTAATTAGATTAAACCAAAAAATTAGACCAGCTTTTGAAACATTGAGAGGGCTTCTTTGAAATAACTTAGCAAAATCGAAATAGCGAAGGAACGGCCCTCAATATGACAACGCACTAAATCACCTACGAATTTTTTTCCAGATACGTGAAATCCTGCGAAAAAATTTAATCTAGGGCATCTTTTTTTTCCCAAATCGTCCGAGCGAAAACATTTCTAAACATATAAAAAAATAATGATAATTAAACTGAAATTAAACTTTCTCAATCTGAATTCTAAACCTATAAAATATGTCATACCAATCTGCAATTCTGGCCTAGAAATTAAACCAATAATTTTCATTTATTCAATGTTTTTTTTAGAAATTCCATCAAATTTTTTGTAGATAAACCAAATTGATTTTCTGAGCTCCCCTAAACCCCTATGAAGACACAATTTAATGAAAAAAAAAAATCCAAAAAGCCGTTTTGGGCATTTTTTGGGAGATGTTTACGCGAAAAATTTTTTTGCGCTCTCTCCTCAAGTTAAGTGTATCTAGAAGCCCAAGGCACTTCAGAAAAATTTCAAGTTCTAGAGTTGGTCAACCAAAAACTGATGTCATAAAATAGCTTCAAAGGGTGGACCATTTGTAAAAACTTGTCTACCCTATTTGAGGGGTGTGAGGCGGCAGCAAGAAACATAACATAGTTTAACTTAGTGTGTTGTAAAATTCGAAAGTTCCCCATCCCTCTCGAAACAGAAAATGAGCTCTGTCGCTTAAATCCGTTGTTTTCGACGGTGGTTTAACTAAATTTGAAACTTAATTAGTTAATTGAGGTCGTACTGTTAGCAAAAAAAAATATTTTGTTTTATGATTCAGAGCACCGGAGCAGCTGTTTGCGACTAGTTCCGGTTTATCTTTTGCCTCTAATTTCTTTTCTGAGTCCAAGTTAAAATTCACCAGAAAAACTACTGTTATTTCAAATTAATTAACAAAGTATAACTATTTTCAGGAAACAAATCCACAAAGTTTCATGGTATGTTTCTTTATTATTGTTCCGACTTTCGATACGAAAGTAACAGAATATTTGTGCTCGGGGTGGGTTTTTTTTTCTTCAGACAAATTTCGACTTTTTAACTAGCCATTTTTGACGTAATTTTTTTATATCATTCGAAAGGTTTTGTTGTCCTGAGCTCAAATTTGAAAAGATATTTCACCTGTGATCATTTTTCGTAAAGTTATGGGGGTTTAAAGCTTGCCATTATGGCCAATTTGGGACACTAATATATTTCGCGCTACTAACGCGTAAGCGGAGAGTTATTCCGTCTTAAAAATCGATCCAAATTGGTTTAAGGAAGCTTATTTGCCATAATTGATTTGTTACAAGTAGCGAAATCTATCCTTTTGTACTTTAAATGGCGTGTGAGTGGATGATTTTCATAAAAAATTTCAAATTTTAGAAAAAAAAAATTTCATTTTGTTTTATTACTTTTAATTTTTTTTAAATGTTATTACTGCTCCATAAACCTTAATATGCAGTCGGAACATTCAGGGCTTCACCCTAATACGAGCAGTCTTGTTCTATTTCAAAATTAAATTGAATCAGTCGAGCTAAGTTTGAAACAAAAAATATATTTCCCACATCCAAATTTCTTGTTCGAATTTTAACGATACGACTTAAATTGTCAAAGAATTTTTTATTGTTCCGACTTTCGATACGAAAGTAACGGAATATTTGTGCTCGGGGTGGGTTTTTTTTCTTCAGACAAATTTTGACTTTTTAACTAGCCATTTTTGACGGAATTTTTTTTATATCATTCAAAAAGTATTGTTGTCCTGAGCTTAAATTTGAAAAGATATTTTAACTGTGATCATTTTTCGTAAAGTTATGGGGGTTTAAAGATTGCCATTGTGGCCAATTTGGGACAATTAACGCGCGATATATTTCGCGCTATTAACGCGTAAGCGGAGATTTATTGCGTCTTAGAAATCATTCCAAATTGGTTGAAAGAAGCTTATTTGCCATAATTGATTTGTTACAAGGAGCGAAATCTATCCTTTTGTACTTTATATGGCGTGTGGGGGGATGATTTTCATAAAAAATTTCAAATAAAAAAAAATTCATTTTATTTAATTACATTTAATTTTTTTAAGGATATTACTGCTCCATAAACGTTAAAAGGCAGTCGAAACATTCAAGGCTTCGCCCTGATACGAGCACTCTTGTTGCCTTTGCATAGCATATTCAATTCAAATTTCATTTCACACAGAAGGAAGCGAAGTCTAATTTTGCAAACATGATGAAAACATGGCGAAAATACGAAATTAACTAAACCAAGGTCGTTTTTTGCCATGGAAATATAGAATGAACCTCATGTCCAGTGATGTCCAATATAACCAATTGTTTAACCAATTGATTTTTGAAAAATGGTTTGTTAAACTGATTTAACTAATAAAAAAATTGGTTAAACCGATTTGGTTAAATACATGTTATAAGTAACTAATTAATATTAGCTCATATATTAGCTTTTCAGGAGTGTGTTTTTCCATTCAGGAATCATTTTTTCCCAAGCCACTCCAAACCTTCACTCATTCGTGCTCCATCGATCGATAATTAGCAGTTTTGATAAAGTCCGACAATATTCGCGTACCGAAAACTTTTAAAACTTGCATCATTTATTATAAGACTGGGAGTTTTAAAACTTGTTTATCACTGTTTAAAAGCAAAATTGGTTAAACCGTTTTGGTTAAAAATTTTTTAATTGGTTAATGGTTTAAAACATTGGTTTACTTTTTTAACTGGACATCACTGCTCATGCCAAATCGCTTCTATATACCAACAATAGATACTTAGATCCAACAATGGTTTCCTAACTTTTGTGTTATATTTTTCGTAATAATGAGTAATTCAAATATGGCAATTATTAATGTTTTAAGAGAAAATGAAAAATATTTATGCCCTGTAGAAAGATAAGGAAATAATTGGGGCGCGGAACGTCCATATGGCGAAATTAAATCTTCGGTATCTGTGGTAGAGGTTTTAAAATATCGAGTGATTATTTTGACATATGTTGCGTTGTTTTTCTCTGAAATCAAAAAGTAGTATTTTCGCCTGAAAATTAAAAATTTCATTATTCATTAGATTTGTTTTTCATGGAACAAGTTATACCTAGTATCTCTTCAGCAAAAATACAAGCAATACAACGTCAATGGTTACCACGGTAGTCGTTTCTCCATATAAATATATGGTTAACTTCGAACTTTTGTTCGTATTATTTTTTTTTCTTCATTTTGTCGGTTAACTGCTGAAGCATCTTTCCGACCTTCGTTGAAAACATTGAGTCCAAATACTTTTGAATTGATGCCAGAACTAAACAGACAGCAGAATCCAAAATGCTGAACAGGAATGTGAAAATGTACACGGTCAAAATGTACAAATTAAAGCCGCCAACATCAGGGATAACTAATTATCTAAATGCTTTCAAGAAAACAGAAAATTGAACTTTATGTGACTATTTTTTCTTTACCCCTGTCTTTAAATATGCTTCAAGTTAAATTCATTATGTTTTATTTTTGCAATGGTTCACAATATCTTTAAGTATCGGCACTCATTGTATCAGAATTTTCCAAAATCTTTCTGGTTTATTGAAGCAATCAGATAATAAAATAAGCACCATTTTCAATATATGCGCTTCTTTTCGGAAGCAGAAGCAACCTTATTTTTTGCGGTGATATCGAAGCCTAAGTGATTTATACCCGTTGCAGACGTGTCTCGATTAGACGAACAACTCCCTCGGCCAAAGAATGGTCCTTATTTCTGTAGTCTTCGGCTAGAAGAGTCAGAGCATTGATGTTCGGCTTGCTGTTCGTCCGCAAATCACCCAGCGTGGACTCGTAGTCTTCTAAATCTTCGTCCAGAGGCATTTCCACACCCAATTGGACAAACGACTCAATGCAGCTTACAACGAAAGACAAAAATCCAGAGACCACTTCAATCCACGCTTGCTAACTAGTTTATCAGAGAAAAGTAATCTGAAAGTTTCATCTTTTTAACTTGCTGTATAACTATAACTTCATTTAGCAACTGAATTGTTGATTTAAGCATTTTAAATTTGAAATCTGATTTCATTAACGTTAGCCAAAAGCTTGCACATGTGCACATACTAAGAAGATTTGTCGATGGTTGCAGAAGCAGCAGAGAACGTTTCGACAACAATTATATTGATAGAAACATTATCAAAAAAGGATTAATTTGTATGTATTTTATTTTGTTTATTCTAGGTAATTTTTGGGTGAATTAGGGAAGGAGCGAGAGGGAGCAATGAATGTTCCAAAACACCTTCCAATAGCTGAAATATTGTTCAGAATATTTACTCGTTGAAACTCGTTACACGAATTTACTCGTTGAAAATATCCAGCGTAGTCTGATTGGCGACTTGCTTAAGTCGTTTTTGCTCTAACTAGAAATTCAAACATTTTCTTGACACTGAAGATGAAGACTCTCAACTGTTAAAGGTGTTCAGTTTCTAATTTGCATTTCTTTTTTTCACTAATTATATTTTTCTTCCGACCACTCAAGAATGAGAAGCAGCTATGGCCTGGGGTGAGTTTGTCCCGCTTTTCAGGTGTCTCAAAAGAGCGGTTTGAAATGTCATTTTTTACCACTATGACAATCGATGACAAAAGGGTGGACCCTTGTCTAGTCTTTTGAAATATTTTGAATAATATTTTGTTAACTTTTTTTGATAATTTTTTTCTTGAAAAACATCTAGGATCAAAGAAATAAATTCAAAGCACATTTAGCAAGAACGTTTAAATTTCACGGGGACCGTAATTGCAGTAACCAAAAAGTTTTGATCTAGACCAATTAAATTAGGCTATTTTAACAATTTAAGAAAGTCACGGAATATGTATGCTCGGAAAATTTGCGTGGTTTTTTCTCCAGAGAAAATTCTACGTTTTAACTAGCAATTTTTTGAAACATCGGAACGATTTCGATGTCTTTAGCTCAAAATTGAAAATATATTTCACCTGCCACAATGGAGGTTATAAAATGGCCGATTTGGGATAAATAAGGCGCGATTTATCTCTTCCTATCAGAGCGTACGCGGCGAAATTAATATTTTAAATTAAATTTAAGCAGGAAATTTGGTTGGTTTTTACTCGTTACCAGACGAAAAAATTATCACTTTTACTTTTCAAAGCGGGTGGGGATAAAAACAGCAGGGATAAAAAGGAACAAAAAAAATCACATTTTTTCAACTTTTTCAAAATAAAAACGTTTCCATTAGGACGTTAGAAGGCAGTCGTAACATTCAGGGATTCACTCTGATACGAGCATTTTATACTCATTTTAAAACTGCCAAAATGGACTAACTAATGCGTATTTGCTTTCTGACTTAATATGAACAACGCCATAAGCAGAGATGCTATTGACTTTGAGACTGCACCACTTTTGTTTCTTGGCGTGATGAGAGGATCTGAACGAAAGCCTAAAAATTAAATATACTCTATAGCAATTGTAAAGTAGGTATAATCAACAACTATTTTTGCAAAAAAAATTAATAGAAAAATTTTCAATCAAAAATTTTTTTGCTGACATTTTTTTTGACTTTTGCTCAAAAACTTCGAACACTAATGCTACTGAGAAAAGCAAAATTTTCACGGCCTAACCTATGAATTAAACTATAAGACTTTTATCAGAACTAATCGCTTTAGTTTTCCTACTCGCTTCACTCAAAGTTAGACAGCTCAAAAAGTCGAACCGGTTTTTTTCCGCAGTTTTGTATTGAAATTTTTATGTCGTTCGAATCACGACTTACTGTGCTTTAATAACATATATGACACGACCTCATCCAATAATTATTTGTGGTACTTAATCTTGCGTAGGAAATTGTTCTTAAAAGCAAACGAATAAAAACCAACCCGAAGAGAAAGTCCCTGCCCATTTCTAGTGAACCAACAACAAATCAACTTGCTTCTTTGTTTCATGCTTCTATTTTCTAATATTTCTATTCATTGAAAAATCGGATAATTTGGAGATTATACAACCTATTGAGTCCATAACCAAGATCGCAGAACGAGGGGATATTTAACCTCATTCGCGTTTGTTTTTGTGGCGATGCGGAGCTTTACGTCACTTGCGAAGCCAAAATATATGCCGCTAATCATCAGCAGAACATGATTTTAGCAAGCTTACATATTCAAAATTAGTTGATAATTTACATCAAAAAGAGCGACCAAATTTAAAAGATTCATTTATTAAATGCAACGCAGGCCCACGAATAATTTTAAAAAATCAGGAACACAATCAATTTTTCGGATATCTCGCGGCATAAAACTTCGTTATGACTATCTCCTGAATAAGAAACAGAAAATATCTAATTGTGAAAATTCGTTGGAAATCTTACACATCCGGAAACTTCTTGAAACTTATCTGCATAATTAGGAGTAAGTAAAAAAGTTGGCGTATAGAAAGAGACGCTGCATAGCCTCTCATTTTTTCACTCTCATACCATCACGCACATTCACCAGAAAAAAAAAGTATTTTTCATGAATATGGTCGAGCTATTTCTGCACAGCGACTGGATCAAAGCAGCACGAAGTTCGACTATATTTATTTAAAAAATACTTTGTTTTTCATTCAAATGCGCGTAATGGTATGACATAAAAAACTGACTTTTAGTAAATTAATGACAATCGAATTAGGTTGTATTGAAAAAAAAACCTCATTTTAAAACATTTTTATTGAGAAGGAACCGCGAAATGAAGCTTCTAAGCTTGTTTTACTGGAGAAAAACAAATCTCCACGGATTTTATTTACAGAAACGTTACTTGCTCAAAACTTGACTTCAAATCAAACCAATTTTTCTCAACAATGAGTAATCATTTTGCAAATGTCAATTGAATCACGAATTAAGGGATTTTCATATGACATATCTCTCGACTGACACATTCTGACGATTATTTGTAGAAGCTGGGTTAGGACAAAACAAAAAGACAGTTCCTCCCCTCTTTCATCGGTCCGAACAGAGTAGCCTATTGCTGTGCACAAGGAAAAAAATTATTTATAAATTTAATTTTCAAAAAATGATAAAAACCAAAAAAAAATATCAAAACTTTTAAAAATTTATTCTAGATTATTATTTAGAATTTTCATGAAACTTATTTCGAGCAAACAAAGCGCTAAATGATGCTTCGAATTTTTCCTGGAAATTTTTTTTCCCGGAGTAAAGAAAGTGAGGAATTCGAAAGCAAAAAGGCTGCATTTTCTTCTCCCAATTAATTACTTCAAACGCATCACAAAAAAATAACTTTAATAATTGATAAAACAGAAAATTGTAGGTTTTCATCCCAAAATACAAAAACTGAAATATTAGTTTCGAAACTTTAGGATTAATTAAACCTCCGAGAACCCTATGCCTACTTTTCCCACCATTCATCTAATTTCCAACATTCAATGATAATTATATCGAAAACTGAGAAAAACCACTTTAAGGAAGTCGCAGTATATTTTTAAAGTTATTGAGCTAGCCGAATTCTCAGTAAATCTTTCATTATTTTGAAATAACTCAGTTTTTGAAACCAAACTAAAAAAACTCAACTCAATGAAAATAAATGATTTTCGAATAGCAACAATTTTTACCCCAAATTTTTGGTCTAAAACAAACAAAGGGCACCGACACCATACGAGAAAACAAAAAAATATCCAACATACAGTTGGAAAATTTTCAATAAATCAACGTGACAAAAAATTTCAACTGTCAGGTTTCAAAGAAAGAGAATCATCTTTAGAAAGTAAGATGTCATCTTAAGACTCTTCAGAATCCTTTGTAATTGACACTTTCTTGATAACACAAACACATTTAGAGAAAACTAGTTCAATATTTAATTGTGTGAATTCTGAAACTGAAAATCCATTTTTGAAGCTTGCAGTCTTCACGTTTTTTCTTACATGTTCGCTTTCAGAGAGCCTGGTTTGTCTATCTTTTAGCGAATGAATTTAAAATTAACTTCAAAACATGAGTAAAACCGCGAAAATCAAGTTAGAGCCTGAACAATTTTCAGGACTTTCTGTTCAAAAAAAGGACAAAATCAACACGACTTCTATCAATGACCTTATTACGTTCATTGACAATTAAATACAAAAGATTTTAACACAGGTGAAGTGAAGCGTCGCAAAACTTGCAATACAGAGAATTAAAAATTATATATGAAAGTTATATATAATTTCCTTGTTTTTCTATCTTCATAAAAACTGACTTTGAAATATAACCTTAACAAAGCTCCTAGTCAAATAAATCCTTCCAAAAAAAACGAAAATGGCAAGACAAAATTCAAATTATCACGAGCTCGTTGAACTTGTTCAAACGTTCCTGCATTCATCGCATCCAAATTTCGGAACATTTTTTGATACTTTACCCAACTGCCAATTTGTCTGTTCAAATGTCACAGCATCAAATTTAGTGGCAAAAGAAATATACGGTAATTGGCAAATAGTAACCGAGAATATCAGAAATATTTTTGAAAAAATGGAAATCGCATTATTTAAATAAAAACTGTTCTCATGTCCATTCCCAAAACTTAGACTAAGGCAGACACAAGCGTTAATAGACTATTGCAAAACTAACAGGATTTTGCAATGGCGAACTTAGTCCATCAATTTAAAAGCCTGCTCATATTCAAAACATTTCCAAGCAAAAACCAGCAAATCTTCATGAAATGCTGTCAATCCAATTTGATTCACAAGACAAAAGCATTACAGACAATTTAATAAAGCAATCTGAATTTGAAAAACAAGCTTTTGAAAACCAGATTAAATTTTGAAATTTTTTTTTATTTGCGTCTAAATTGGTTACATTTTGAACCATCCCCATACTTCCATAGCAGTGTTGTTCGATTCAAAAATTGCCAGTAGACTATAATAATATCAAATAAGCTACTATTCACGCTCAAAAAACCAAGGCTACCATAAATACGTATTGAACAATTTATAGGAAACTAAGCTATTTGAGGATAGCCATTTTTT